TGGCTCACAAAAACAGTTTTAAAAAGAGAGAGAGAGATATGTGTGCTCTTCAATATTTTAGGAAATTTGATTCCAGTGGCAAATTGGCTTAATAATATGTTACCCAATAAGGAACTTCCTTGTCTTTTAAAAGAAATAGTATTAGAAAATAAGTAAAGGGTTTAAAACTAATTATATTCTTAATGATTAAATACATTCAAATGATATAGGCCAGTTGAGCTGAAAAAGATGAGAGGGCAAGTCTCACTTTAATAGAGTAATGGAGTATCTTAGGGGACTGGAGTATTTTAGTGCCACTGGCCTGACCCAGCGCTGGCTGAGTTGGCAGCAAGGGCCTTTCCTAAGCAGGACACGTGCCAAGCCTTGAGGGCTGCAATCTGATCTCCCTGAAGTGCTTAACACAGGAAGCTGAGTCTAAGTGGGTATGATTTCCTGCCACCTCTTCACTCTCCCCTTCTTTGTTTTTATTGTTTTTAATCTCCTTCTCCCATTTCTTTCCATACAAGTGAAGGAGGGGAAGACCCCCATCTCTCACTAGGGTACCATACAAAGCAACAGCCAGCCACTAGAAAGCAAGGTCAAGCCAGGCCAAACCACCCCCAAAAAATAACAAAGTGTTATCACCAGCAAAGCCACAGGGAAGCTTTCTAACCCAGCTCAGGTGTGGTACTGCTAACGTTTTTGAGATTGGATTATATATATCATGGAGTCTACACTCATTCAGTATTAGTCATCTAAACGTCCCGAATTTCTGACTAACCACTTCCACTTACTTATTTAGCCTATGGCACAGTTACGAACCATCACCATCATAAGTTCTATAGACCCTCCTCACCCCAACACACCAAAATCACCTGAGAAGTCACTGAATGAAGTCTTGATGACAGACCCTTACCTACTACAATTTTTGTTCCAATGGATTGTTTCCAGGCCCATAATAACTGAAAGAAAGGGCTTGTGACTGGAGTTTGGAATTGGTGTTCTTGTCTCACTAGCCGAGGTGGCCTTAGCATGGGCCTAGTCATTTATGTTCTTGAACCTCAGTTTCATCATCTATAGAATAAGGTGTTTAGTGAACAGGTAGGGGAGGCAAAAGGATTTCTTCTTTATTACACATGCTCCAACACAGTTAATTTTTTTTTTTGATAAGTATGTGTTAACTTTTCCTATAGAAAAAATTTCAAGAGTGGATTGAAATAAATGGCCTCTAGGAACCCTTTCAGATATAATGATCTGAAAGTCTTAAGTTCATCCAGGATCTCTGAAGCTCCCTATATGCACCCTTTACCCTTAACTGGTGGAAAACAGTTAAGACCCCAAGCCAAACAGTGTAGCACAGGGACCGTGTTTAGGAAGCTGGGAAAATTGAGGCAGGGGTGAGAGTGAGGGCTTTCTCTCTCCGCATAGGTAGAAAGACCTCTGGAAGAGCCCTCTGACTGCCATGCAGCTCGGGGATTTCCATCTGCAGTTGTTAAAAGAACTCTATTTCCAGCTTTTTACTCTCATACAGTCATCTCATGCTATTATAAAACTAGCCTATAAAACAGAGTCCTCAAATTGATGTCCACATAGGAACTCTGCCTACTTAGTACAGCACAGAAATTTTTCTGGGATGCACCTTACACCACCCAAAACCCAGCAGGGAAGCCTTCTTTAGCTTCTACTGTCCCACTCAGAGTTATACCATTTTCCCGTGTGTAAGCTTTGAGACCCATTCGAAGCTCAGGTCATCTTTTTACTTATACAGTAATCTAAAAGGGCTAAAAGACACAGCCAGAACACTGCTACTCTAGAAAGCTCTTGGGGATGGGACTCAACCCCTTCAAAACTTTTATTTTGCTCCTGAAATTAGCCAAAGAACTAGATTTTCAGTAGACCACAGGAAGGTGGAGACAGAGCTTCATAGCAGCTCTGCCTCTATAAACTCCTTCTTGTCTACATCAGACACCCTTCCCTCTTTAAAGAATTTTCCAGAACTGAGCAATTGATGTTTAGTTTCACTTATCACAAGCAAGTTACATCAACAGGTAGAGTAAGGTGAAAAGGATCAACAAACAGTAAACCTCTACCTCCAGGCTACCTTTCCCACCCACCTCCTTCTCCCTTCTGCCTTCTCCTCCTTGCCCACTGTCTCCTAAACATGACTGAGCTATTCTCTCCCTCATTCAACACACTTTCAATAAGCACCTACTATGTTTCAGGCACTAAACAAGGTATTGGAGGTACACAAATATCAACATGGCCCATGGCCTTAACTCATTCTTGGTGGAAGAGACATATTTAAATAATTACAGAACAAAATTACAAACTAATGCAGCCACATCCAAGTGTGGAAAAGCTGATGCTCCCAATGAAATGGTGAATTATATTCAACTGAATTGAAAGCTGAATCATGATAAAGCATTTATTCCCACCCTCCACATATGCTTCCTTAAAGAAAAACAACAGATGTGATGCACTGACTTGCACACTGTCCATAGCAGATAGAAAATTTAAGTGTTATTCTCAGTGCAAACATAATTTCTGTTCATCCAGAATGCTGACATAATTTATGCTCACCTTGTTCAAAAAGAAGACTTAAAAAGAAAAAAAATCTTGTAAAGCTTTTGTAAGTGAGGAAATCAGTGTGGAAGGAAAATGTGGGCAGGAAAAAAATTCAATGAAGCCAGGGATGAGGCTGGTAAATGAAACATATGCCACTAAGATACTGTGTATTCAGTAAGGGCAGACCACAAATTTGGCTTATGGCATTCCAGCACCCGACGGAAAAAAGGAGAAACATGACTAGTTTCATGATTCATAGTGTCCACATGATAATTTTTCATGGAACTGAAACCTGAAGTAGTCTCTTTCTGGGTCCGCCAAAACCCTTAACTCTTGTTCACATACTTTCAGAATTAAATTTCTGTAATATCCTATTTCACTTTGCACACCTTGCCTGTAATATGTATTTTAAATAACAGAAAATATATCTGTATTATTTGCTTTAAAAGAAATAAAATTAATATTTGTATTTGGCAGGCCGTTTGTGCACAAAGCACCAGGGGCCAGGGAAGGTAGTGTGTGTCAGGAAGCGGTCACAGTGTGCCACAGCCTTGTTTTAAGTCTTCATAAGGAAGACAAGAGGTTTGCCTTGACGTTTTCTTGCACTGAAAAATCTACTGCTGTGGATTTTCCTGATAGTGTCATGCCACATGTATTCAAACTTTAGTATGTCTGGGTAGTATATGATGACTGATTCAACACAATAAAGTTCTCTGAATCTTTGAAAACTTGGCAGTACAAATAATCACGGTTCCAATATTTAATATCTAGACTCCTCATCAGGAGAAGCAGTCATACCAGTTATGAAGCACTTATGATACGCCAAGTGTTACTCTCTGTTCTTTACACATATCGCCTCCAATCTTCAAAATAATTTCAGGATGTTAAATTTTATATAAATTTTACAGATGAGGAAAAATGTAGATTGTTAAGTAGCAAATATCTTTATTTTTAAATTTTATGTTATAAATTTTCAAAAGTCCACTTAAGTTGAGAGTATGCTTACTAGACCCCCAACCTATCCTACCAAAATTCAACAATTAAAGATTTTCCCACATTTCCTTTATCTATTGTTTTTTTTTGATGACATATTTTACAGCAAACTCCAGTCACATCATTTTACCCCTACATTAGTACACATTTTGTAAAAAATAAGCACAGATTCTTTCATAATGGCAATGCCAAAAACAAACCTAACAAAGTCAATGATAATTTCTTGCAATCATCTAATAATTTCTTTGGAGTCACTGGTCAAGTATCTCCAATTTTCTCAAGAAGTCTTTTTATAGTTAGTTTGTTCAGATTAGGATCCAAAGGAAATTCACACATTTAGTTATTTCTTTTAAGATCTCTGACCCTCTTTTTTTCCTATCTCCAACTGCTGTGGAAGCAACTACCCCATCTTTTGAGATATAATTCACATATCATAAAATTCACTTATAAAGTGTACAATTTTATTAGTATATTCACAAGGCCATGCAACCATCATGCACAGAGAACCAAGGGAGCTGTCTCAGGAGGAATTATAACAGTCCCCAGAAATTTTTAGTGTGCAAGGGGTGTGGGGGACACAATCACCCTGAAGACACCCACGGCACAAAATAAAAGAGCTGATATATAATATACAGAGCCTATCTTTACTTTAGAGGGTAAGCCTTCTAAGCTTAAAACAACTGGCCTGTACTAGCCCCAGAGTAAAGTTCCCCACAAATTACTATCAATTACAGCAAAATACCATATACCATTTAAAAAGAATGAAGTAGAGACACATATTGACAAAAATAAAGAGTACGTGTGGGTATTCACACATTTTTTAAAAACTGAAAACATACGAAAAGCTGGATGGAGGTACTTTAAAGTCTTACCAGTGGACCTCTAAAGTGTAGAATTTGGAGGGTAGGGAGAAAGAAAATGGAGAATTCCACTTTTTATCTTATGTCTCTCTGAAGAGTCTGAATTTGTTATGAGTTAGTGATAAAATACAAAAACCTGAAAAGTTGCTAAAATATGAAATAATTTTTTAATCAGCATAAGCAATGTTTCTTTATAAATAATTCACCTTCTGGCATGAATATACATCAATACACACAAATAGGGAAGCCAGCTAAATTAGAGGACCTGCTAATTACTATTAGAGGACATCTCGAATCTAATTCAAGAAGAATAAACTGCCATGTAAGGTAAACAGAAAAAGATCAGCTGAACTTGGTTTGCCCACTTCACCAGATTTACCAGAAAATTTAACTACAAAACATCTGAAAATAAGGGAGAGAATTAAAATAGCGCAAGAATAAAGAAGTCATCTTCTAACTTTTCCTTCAGTCATAAGAAATAGGAAGGTAAAGATTCACAAGACAGAAATCCACGCATCTCCTGGAAAAAGTCTGACATATTTAGGGAGGAAATCTAGTTCTCCTCCCTCATTATTTCTTGATAGAAGCTTCAGTGTTTCTTACCTGATCACAAATCAGTTCCCACTTTTTCTCATTGTCATACTGCCGCAGTAACCTGGCTTTGTCAGGGGGTAAGTTCATAGCATTCTGTTAAAAAAAAAGAGTCATGTCACATTCCACAACAGACTGCTAAGTGGGAAATTCATGGGGCAGACCAAAGAATACTACTATGGTTCTTCTATGACTTCAACTCCTAGCATCTGATTAAACAGAAACACCCTACAGAAGTCATTTTAGCATTAAATCGGTTGAATGAGAGGGAATAGACTCTGAAGTCCTAGGCTAGGACATCGAAGTGGTCTGCTCCGAACTACAGGCGTGCATTTCAGCAAAGGTAATGCATTATTTCTTCATTTAATAGCAGGTTCCCAGTCTACTTAGCAAAAGGTCAGAGTTTATTGTTGAGAAGGTTTTGTCTCAATTTTTTTCCCCAGGCACAAAAATCTTTCACTTGGACAGCGGCAACTTGATTTTGTTATCCTTCCCAAAACTGGCTTAGAAATCACAAACCAGTACCAGAAAAGAACTCAGAAGACCATGTGTCCAGTTTCCTGCCACCAGGCACCTATTTTATTGCTCCTTGCTTCCCTGGCTACCCCAAACTGAGAGTA